TTTCCCATCTGTAAAATGTGACTAAAATAATGCTTTCCTCAATAGGGGCGATGTCAAGACTGAGTTGATACAGGTAAACACTGAAGCCATTTTTGAATTTTTTGCTTTTCTTTTTTAAAAAATGAAATGGTTAGATTCGCTCCTTCTATAAGGTCTACAATATATAGGCTATAGAAAAAATGGCTTATCCAGCAGTTTTTGGTCATCCTCCACTTGTCTACAATCCTATGTAAATTTTTAGTAAGCAATGGAATCCACTCTTTGCACTCAAACTTGAATGGATTATATGCTCAATACGGTTTCTCTGGGACACAGGGAAGAATGTGAGGGTGTTCAGCATGCTTCCTGGGATCCTATGTTGAAAAATTTTTATTCCAATTTGAAGCAAAAAAGAGAAAGAGACCTGTACACACTGGGTCCCTGCCTATCTATAGGGACCAGATATAAGTCAAAGAAAGATTTACTACCACCTGTGATTCATTTAAGATGAAACCTTGAGTGAATTCACTGGGTAGGGGGAGTCTACTCAGCTACAATTCCATGAAAAGGGGACATTGCTGACTGCATCTCAAGTTCAGCCACCCAAGTGAAGATTCTTCCTTTAAGTGCTACGTTGTCATCTGTGTAAGCCCCCAGTGATGCCTTTTGGCTGAACTGTATCTGACATTTTTAAATAGATGCAGGGAAATTCTATACAAGTGTCAGCTGTTCTGAAAGCTTCCCTTTCCACTCCACTCACTCTCTTCTTTTAACCAGTTTTATTGAGATACACAATTTGCCCAGAATATAAATTCAGTGGTTTCTTGAAGCGTGTGCACAAAGGTGTGCAAATGTTGCCCCTGTCCAATCCCAGAAGATGTTTATTACTCTAGACAGAAACTCTGTACCCTCCCACCATCACCCCGCAGTGTGCAATGGAAAAACTCCCCCTCTCCAGCCCCCAGCAACTACTAATTTATTTTCTGCCTCTACAGATTTGTCTCTTCTGGACATTTCATATAAATGCAATCATAAAACATGTGGCCTTTTGTGTCTGGCTTCTTTCACTAAGTATAATGTTTTTAAGGCCCCTCCATAGTGTAGGATGCATAGCACTTCATTACTTTTTATGACAAAATAATGTTCCACTATATGGATAAACTACATTTGTTTATCCACATATCTGTTGATTGATACCCATATATACCTTCACCTTCTTATGGATAAGGATTCTATTGGCTAAGTCAAACGGACTTCCTCTTTCACTCTCCTTAACTATGTAGATACTGCAAGAACTAGAAATAGGAAACGTTGTGGGAAACGCCCAAGACATGGATTTTTTTCCTTTTTTTGGTGGTGGTGCTGGGGATTGAACACCCTTGTGCATGCAAGGCTAGCACTCTGTCAACTGAGCTATAGCCCCAGACCAAGATGTGGATTCTTCAGCAGTTTTTGGTTGTAATAACAGACCTGCTTGAAACCTGCTCTTCCCTTGCTATTGAAACACTATAATTCTAATTCCATTTTTCAACAGAAGTTCTCGGATAAGACGATGCTGCTTGTGCGGAATGGACTTAAAACATTGACCATCTTTTAGTAGCAGAAAGGGTGAAGAGAATGTGGAAAAGTTTGGAGAGGCTAGAAGCTACCCCTCTAACCTCTTTATTTAACTGTAGATACTGCAAGGATTATCCAAAATTGTGAACCTCTGCTCTGGTTATTTAGAGGGTGCAAAATCACTTCTGGTCACAGTGCTTTTCAAGACTTAGTCTGATATAAGAAAAAAATCAGATAAGGGGTAGAATTTTTCTGTAACTATGAAATCTGGTGTTATTACTTCCTTCAGGTTTGGCTTGATCTAGAAGTTCAGTGATATCATCTTTATATTCTTTCTCCCTCTCTCTGCCTCTCATCTCTACTTTCCTCTGTATAGGTTGCTAGGAGCAACAGTTCTACTTTCTGTCAGCCTAGCAATCACTGTAAAAGTAAAATCTTTTGTCCCATAATTCCAGCAAATTCCCAGGGCCAGTGAGAGTTATGTCAGACCACTTTTGAATCAATTGCTATAATTCTGATGGCCAGGATAATAGACTGGGTGAGGGTGACTCCTCCAAAGGAAGGCCCAGATTTGTTACCAGAGGTAGGGATGCTGTTCAAACAAAATCATGAGGTGTCCCATCCAGGTGGCCAGGGTAGGCTGTTGTATCTTAAAAGCTGAATAAGAAAATTCAGAAGAAGAAGAAATGTATCATTTAAAGTTAAATGATACAAATGTGCTCTGATTGTGGGCATATCTGTATTAATGAGAACCTCCTTCCTTTTTGATTTCCTTCCAGTGAATTCTCTGTCTTCCATCAAGCCTTCATTGTGGGCCAGATGAGGTCTTGGTGCAACAGTAGATCCGCCCCACCCCCTGCTTCCCATGGTAATCTGAGGATGCCATGAACTTCATGTGTCCAGCCCCTTCTCCTTTCAGAACTTCCAAACAAGAACTTTCCTGTGCAGAGTACAGGGAAGCCAAGCCAATTTTCTGTTTTTGGTATTAAATTTAGACCTTTCATCTTGACCATGAGATATTTCTGGATCCTGCACGAGCATTCAGTGAATGCCAGTGTTCAAGATGCTGTCCCATCTGGGTGGCTCTGCACACTACCCACGATATCTCATCTCTGATATCTCATTCTTTCAAGACTTGGGGAAAATGACCCAAACTCAGAAACAAATTCAGAAGTGGGTTATTCCGGTATCCTTTAATTGTTATTTAATGCCTTTGCCATCTAGGTTACCTGGAGATGAAAGAAATTAAATTTAAACGGAAATCCGAATTGATGTTTACAGATATCCTAAATCATCTCTGCCCTGGCAATTTAATCCTGTGAATATGTTTGGTAGCAGAATGTGCTTTCTTAAAAGGTAAAAAGATAAACAATATGTGAAACATTCAAATAAATGGATGCAATTCCAGAGGCCTTTTCAAGGGCATTCCTGGTATTACATCTTTGTCAAATAGGTTTTTTTTTTTTTAATGGCTTTTGTATTTGCAAATAGACTTTGGTTTGCAAAGACTGGAAATCACTGATGAGATTAATGGGCACTATAGAGTAGTCAAGACAACCTGCAGTTCATATTGATTCCTTGGTTATCAGTCTGGAGGTATGCAGGGTACCCCTCACATTGCCACTGGGATCAAGCCAGAATCATGTCATCACTTGCTGAGTGCTTACCATATATCAGGAGCTTTGCTAAATGCTTCACATGTGTCAGAATTTATCCACATACTAATGTCTGTGTGTACTCCTGTTACCCTATCTTTTGAAACAATTTCCACTGCCTTGCCTTTTGCAGGTGGAAAATCGCATGAAGCTGTATTTCGGGTAGTAATTCCATACTTCTTCAGAAGCTGCAGGCCTGTGAAAGCCTGTCTTTCGGAAATAATGTACTGGTTGTCCTCAAGGTGGGGAAGAGAGAGGGGAGGACCTTCAGGTAAAGAGAGAAGAGAGATGCTAAGAAGCTTCCCAGGAAAGGGATGCAACTTGATAAATGCAGAGGGGCCCCTAAGAAGGCAGAAATACTCCAAGCAGGACACACCATGAGTTCAGGGGCTTCCAGTCTGGTAGAAGCTTTTGTTGTCCCAGGTCTGACATGGAGGCCTCAGTGACATTCAACCTAAAAGGGCCTGCAGCCTGGGATGATGGGTGACCAAACAGCCACAAGGATGGGCCACCGAGTAGTGCCCCAAAGCTTTGCCACTGCAAAAGAGCCCGGGGACTTGGCATCTCCCAACGTGTGTCCAAGGTGTGTGTGTGTGTGTGTCGGGGGGCAGGGGGAGGGGTGCTAAAAAATGGAATTACGTTCCTCTCCACCCTCGAAGGACAGGGGCTCAGAAATGGATTTCAATACATTATAAAATAATGTCATTCTTCTTGAAAATTTGAGTCATTGTCTAAAATTGATTACTTCCGTAGGCATCCGTCCAGGGACATGACACTCTCCAGGAAACCGAGGAGAACTTAATAAAGCACTATTTACACAGTGTGGGCAGGCCATAGGGCAACCAACAAGGGACCAGCAACAAAGGCAGTCATCACTGCCCCTGAGCCTGAAGCAAGAAGAGAAGGGACAGGCACCAAAGGGTCAAAAGAGCCCCTGAAAGGAGAGAGCAGCCCTAGGAGCCTCTGCAGGCAGCCAGTCCTACCCTGTACCCTCTCTGATCTCTTGCCTGGTCTTAGTGAAACCCACAGTGAGTCAAAGGGGAAAGGAGCTCCTCTGAGGCCACCCATGCAGATGCCTCCTGGGACAAAGAGGAGGGAAGAAGAGCTCAGAGCAGGGGTCTGGAGGGCGAGCTGATCTGTGGTCAGAACAATGGGCCATGAGGCCTTGCAAGGTCAGTCCATCCACCCCACATCTTCCCCTTTCTCTCTGGTAGCTGAAGTTCCAGGCATCACAGTGGGTGGGCCTAAGTCCATCAGACCACCTATGGCTGTGCAGCATCTCAGTAAATCTTCACAACAAACCTGCCCGGACCCTGTGTTTCCCCTCCATTTTATGACTAAGGAAAATGAGGCCTGGGAAGTTAGTAAAGCCACAGAGCTAGTAGCTGGCTGAGCCGAGGTTCGGACAGGAGTCCACCGAACTTCAAGGCCATTTTCACCAACCCATTAAACTGGCTCCAAACCAGTTCCACAGTCTGGAAGAAGGACTAAGTGAGACCCCTGAGCAGGCAGGGGAAGGGATCTCGCTCAGGAGGGCTGTGGTCAACAGCTGGCCGGCTTGCTCTTTGCTTAGGTGCCTCGTCTCTACCCAGGTCGGGCTAATGGTTTGAAATCCAAGCACATACCCAAAGTCAAAGCAGGAGAAGATAGAGAGAAAACACTTAGCCCAGGATGGGAAAAAAAAAAAAAAGTGTATTTTCATTTCAGATGCCTTTCAAGGGCTTTTTCCCAGCTGAATGTCTGGTGTATTTATAGAATTCAGGGGGAGTACTTAAGGGTAACCAGCAGTGGAGCTGCATTTTGGGCCATCAGGAAACTCAGGATCATGCAGGAAAAGGTTGATGGGAGGGGACAAGAAAAGGCCAAGAACAGCAGGACACAAACGGCTTTGTCCTTCATGCTGCCAAGACCTTCTCATCCTCCTGGGCTGGTGACGTCAAATCAAGGTCTGTGACAGGGCCATAGATGGAATTATAGAATCAAAAGGATGGGCAAGTGGATGGGTGGATAAACAAGTCATGGCCGGTGCACCAAGTTGAAGGTGACTGAGGCATTGATACCGGGCCACGCCACACGCAATCCTTAAAGACACTCGGCTGAGGGAAAGAAGGGGCGCAATGGGGCACGTGTTGTGTGACTCCACGGCATGAAATACGTAGAGTAGGCAAATTCATAGAGCAGAAAACAGATTGGTGGTTTCTGGGGAACAGGTGGAGGGGTAACGCAGAACAAGTGCTTAAGGGGAACTGAATTTCCTCTTGAGGTGACAAAAACATTACTTTGTTTATTTTCTTTCACCTCTGGAAGTAGAGGTGATGGTTACATAATATCATGAATGTATTTGATGACACTGAATTGTTTCCTTTAAAATGGTTCATTTTATGTCACAGGAATCTTACCTCAATTAAAAAAAATAAAAGGTAGACAGGGTCCCAGGAGGTCAAGCAGGGTACCTCACGCCTTCCACACTGTCTTTACTCCCTACAGCTGAAGTCCCAGGTACTGGGTGACATTCACCTAATTTCATTACTTTCTTTGTTTTCTTTCACCTCCCCAAACAATGGCGTCCTTTATGTTACAGGAACACCTTGAAGCTGTCCCAGCCTCAGGACCTTTGCACTGCTGTTTTTTCTTCTTTCACCAGGTCTCCATTAGCCTGGCTCCTTCTGCTCATTCAGATCTCAACTCAAAGTTTTCTTTTCCAGTGAGGACTTTCCTGAACCTCTTACTGAAAGTACCCACCCCACCAGTCATTCTCCATCTCTGTATTGGTCACCTTGCTGGCCTCTTAGAGGATATGGAAATCAATTTGGTAGGTCTTGATTAACATTTTTAAAAATCAAACAAGGCCAAGCATCGTGGTGCACACCTGTAATCCCAGCTGCTAAAGAGGCTGAGGCAGAGGATTGCAAGTATGACAAGTTCGAAATCAACCTGGGCAACTTAGTGAGACCCTGTCTCAAAATATATATATATGTATATATATGTATATATGTGTGTATGTGTGTGTGTGTGTGTGTGTGTATATATATATATATATATATATATATATATATATATATATAGAGAGAGAGAGAGAGAGAGAGAGAGAGAGAGAGATTGAACCCAGGGTCACTTAACCACTAAAGACACATTCCCAGCCTTTTTTATTTTATAACAGAGTCTTGCTAAGTTGCTTAGGGCCTTGCTAAGTTACTGAGTCTGGTCTTGAGCTTGTGATCCTCCTACCTCAGCCTCCTAAGTCACTGGGAGTGTAGGTATGTACCACTGAACCTGGCAAAATATAAAATTTTATAAAGGTCTGTGGACGTAGCTCAATGGTAGAGCACCTCTGGGTTCAATTCCTAGTTAAAAAAAAAAAAAAAAAAAAAGAGGGAGGGGAGAAGAAGTTTTTTGCTTCCTAGTAAATTGCTCCAAATGTTTTGACTTAATCAACAATTCCCTGCGCCCCAGCCCCAAGTCTGTGGGTGAGCCAGGCTCAGCTGGGCTGCTCTTCTGCTCCTCACGGATCTTCTGGGGTCACTCACAGGCATCCACTGTGAACTCTGCTGGGGTCAGGCTTCCCTCCTGTCCCAGCTTAGTGCTGGCTGCTATTTCGGTTTCAGGGAACATTCTCATCCCCCATCATTCCATGGTCTGAGCCGAGCTCTGTACTTGTACCATGAGCATGAAAGTGGAAGCCACCAGGCCTCCTCAAGCCAAGGCCCAGACCAGGCACAGAGTGGCTTCTGCTGCGTTGTAGTGGCCAAGGCAAGTTCACAAGAGCTGACCAGATTCCAGGGAAGGAGAGCCGGCCCCCACCTCTTGATGACAGAGCAGCCTGACTGTAGCTATCTTTGCAAATGATCTATGGCGATTGTTTTGTGAAAGTTTTATTTCAGTCTAATGGACATTCATGTGTGTGCGCTGTGGCCCACGATAAACATTTCTTTAAAATATTTTTTTCATAGCACTGAGGGTTCTCTGAACTTTGTTTACTTTATTATATGTCTCACCCATTGGAATAGAAACTTCCTGAAGGCAGGATCTTGTCTTGTTCATTGCCATATTTCCAACACCTAACAAGGATTAGCACTTAATAGGTGCTTAATAAACCTCTGTTGTTCTTGAGTAGATTGTTGTTGGATCAGTTATCATTTCTTGGGTGCTAAGCACTGAAAAATATTATCTCATGTAACTTGTTCTGTACATATTTGAGTGCCTACTGTATGCCAGGCATTATTTGAGCTACTGTTGCAACAACAGGGAATAAAATAGACACTTAATATAGATTCACTATAACACCAGGGGAGAATCGAACAGACAAGGAAACTGTCAGAGTGGTCAGGCACCTTGTCCAAGGTCGCACAACTAATACCTTTACCCTGACACCTGGATCCCCTTCACTCTGCTGTGGTTGTTGGATTTCACCCAGAAATGATCCTACATTGTTACGGGTCTCAACTCCTGCTCTTGCTTCTTGGAAGGATCAAACTCGTACTTCTGGGAATCAGACCCAGGGCAGTGGGAACGAGAAAGTCCCATGACCTCAGAGTCTGTGCTCCCCCCAGCGCCCCCCCCCCCATCCATGATGATGGCTCACACCTGGGGTGTTGCAGATTTGAGCCACAGATCTCAGTCACCCCCACTGTCTTATCAACATGTGACATCCCCAAGTGGCTGGGGCCTGTAGGCCCGGTAAAGAATGCAGCCTGGGTAAAAATAAACCTGCCACATTCTTTGGCAGCCCCCTGCCCCTTCCCTCTCTGCAGCCATCCATCCGGGCAGCAGAGTCTGCCAGGGAAGGCAGAGAGGGAGAAATGGGTGGAGGAAGCAAGTGGTGTTGCTGTCCAGCCCTGAGAAAGAGAGGGAGAGAGGGAGGGAGAGGGAGGAGAGGGAGGAGAAGGAGGAGAGGGAGGAGAGGGAGAGAGATCACCTTATATGGGAACATGCGCAGACAATATGTGGCAAGGGCTGAGAGGGCAGCACAGGTCAGATACCAGACAGATGGAAGAAATTAAACATGGACAGAGCGTGTTCCCCGGCCCTGAAAACAGCTCTTGTTTCACAGCATGGCCCCACAAAGCCTGGCCCGGTTTCCTTTTTTTGCCTAAGCCAGCAAGATGTGTGTCCTAAACTCCATAGGACTTTAATTCAGACCCCAGCTCCGTGGCTTGGCTGGCAGAGGTCTCAGGCCATTTCTTTGACAAACCAAATTCCTCATTGAAAAGCAAAAGGAAAAGACCTATTTCTCAAGAGTTTTCAATTTCTCTCCAAAGCACACAAGTGAGTGGTTCTTGATTAGATGACTTTTCATTTCTCATTCATTCATTCAAATAATACAGAGGACTGATCCTCATGTTTGGAGCCAGGAGTTGGAAACGCGGTGTTAATGATGGTAATGATAGTTATGGCTCCTTGATCTGCTCTTATTTGATCAATATTTCAACAATTCTTAATGATTTCCTTAGTACCTTCCATGGTCCAGTCATTGATGATACCAGACACAGGTCCACCCCCATGGGGTTTAGAAGGAGACTGAGGGAAGCCGGCAACGTCAGATGTCGAGCAAACGGCCCTACTGGGATCTCACAGTGGCCCTGTGCTGGTCCCATCATGGTCTCCATTGAACTCAGGGGTTTTCGGCCTCACCCTACAGACAGTCAGTGCTGGCTGGGTCCTGGCCATGCATGTGCTGCTCTGTGCGTCACAGGGTATTTGGCAGGATCTCCGGCCTCCACCCACCAGTAGCAGCCACCTCCTTTTCTCCCAGTTGTGACAAACAAAAAAAATGCCTCCATATATTGCCAAGTGTCTCCTGGGGGCAAAGTGGCTTCCAGTTGAGAATCACTGACTCCGCTGATGAGGAAGCAGAGACTCAGTGTGGGTGAAGAAACCTCTTACAGGCCATTCCACTGGTGGGTAGGATCCACACCCGCATTATCTGATTTCAGAACCTATGATCCTCGCCATGACAGTGTGAAGCCCCGTTCCCTTCACAACAGATGGCTGTGAGCTTGGATGGCTGTCAACCTCATTCCACAAAACACACATTCTGTATTCATCCGGATCCTCTGAAAAGCAGATGTCAAGATGGGCTTCCACTTGCAGGAACCCATTGAGGGAATGCCTGTGAGCGCTGGGTGGAAGCAGGAGTGGGTGGGAGAGCCTGAGACTGACATGCAGGCTGCACCTGGGAAGCAGGTGGGAAGGAAGCAGTGGGTGGGCGGAGCTTCTGACGGCAGCCCTGTGCAGAGAAGGTTTTGGCTGGGTGGGCCCTGCGGGGCAGGCACCCTTAAGAGGAATCCAAGATCGGGCAGCAAAGGGGCTGCACAAGGACTTGCCCTGTGCTCGGTCCTTGGCTGGGAGCAGCCTGGAAAGCGTGGCCTTGGCATGAAGTTGGCAGATCCAGAGGGACAGGAGGAAGGACGGTGGCCACCAGGCTACATCACCAAAGCATTGTCCAATAGCTTCGTTTACCTTTAGCAACGAGACTAAAAAGGCACCTACAGTGTGGTGAGTGACAGAGACAGTGGGCATCTTGAAGCACTGTCTTGAGGGTTTTTTGGTTTTTTTTTTTCAGTACTCTACGACTGAGGAACATCCCTAGTGCCCATCCCTACCTAGTGCCCTCTCCTAGCCTCCACCATACCTGGGCTGTCCAGAGCCTCTGCATGACCTTTAGAGCCAGCTCCAGCTCGATGGCCACCAGTGAGCAGTGAAGAATACAGTCTCCAGGGACGACTTTCCAGTAGCCTGGACAGAAAGGCACTTGGTGAGCCTTTGTTCCCATCTGCATGTCGGGGCTAACCCACCGGATGGCGGGAGGACTGAATGACTGCATGTGAAAGTGTGTGGAATGACTGCACATCTCTTTCCAGAGGAGGGTAGATGAACTGTGTCCATTCCTCAGTATTATAAGAACGTTTCCCAGCTGGCCATTCTCTCCCCCTTCCAACTAGGAGTCATCTCTGCATCTACACAAGAAAGCACTAATGAGCATTTCCATGCCCTAAATTTGACAGATAGCTAAATAGTATTGGATCACAGATTTTTTTTTAAAGGATCCAGCATTAAAAGTTAAGATATTTCATGTAAGAATCTAGGTGGCCAAAAGCAGGATTAAAGACTTGGCATCTCTGCTTCCATTTTGCACCTGTGTCCTTTGCACCTTGGATTCTGGGATAAAGACCTGATGGATGAGCATCCTGTGGGGAATGGAAGCTACCCGGCAGGCAACAGCCACTTTCTTATCATGGACAGGGCTCTGCCGGGCCAATCACCCAGTCAAGATGAACCAGACCACACCTGATGGAGATCACCTGTTTGGCAGCTACGAAAAGTCTCCAGCTGTGCAAACCTCCAACCCTTGCCCTCCTTTCCTCCCTATAAGTCTTCAAAGTCATCATCAGCTCCTTGAGGTTGGGCTGAGCACAACATAAGGATGTGGGTCCCCTTTTCTTTCTGTTGTAGCCACATTGATTAAAGTTCTCTTCATATTTTCACCATTACCTTTTCTGCTTGATTTTTAGGGTGAGTAGCCAGGCACAATTTGCTGGAAGCCCAGAGCCTGGCCTAGGATTCTGGAACCCCAGAGCCTGGCCTAGGACTCTGGTAGCAAAAAGGCTTCCAGCGAGCCTGGCTGGTGGCTCACACCTGTAATCCCAGTGGCTTGGGAGGCTGAGGCAGGAGGATCGCGAGTTCAAAGCCAGTCAGCAATGGTGAGGAGCTAAGCAACTCAGTGAGACCCTGTCTCTAATAAAATACAAAATAGGGCTGGGCATGTGGTTCAGTGATCAAGTGCCCCTGAGTTCAATCCCTGGTACCCCACCCCTCAAAAAAAAAAAAAAAGGCATACAGCAAGCCAGCAGCAATGCAGCTGAATTATGAGCAAGTGAGGGCCTGATGACTACCTTCCCCAAAGCCAGTCTCCCTTTCCTCTCTTTCATATTTTCATCTTTCCTTCTCCTGTGGCCATGTGCTTCTTAGAAGCAGCTGTGAGGCCCAAACCTGTGCTAGAGGTGCACCCAGCCAGGCCTCCTATGCAGTGGAGGATGTCTAGCAGCGTGCCTCGCCTCTATCCAGTAGATGCCTGTAGCATTGCCTCTGCCCCCCACCAACTTGTGATGACCAAAGATGTGTCCAGACATTATCAAGGGTCACCCTGGGGTCAAGTCTAAGAGAACAAGAAGTCCGAAGTCTGCATGCCATCTCATTGCCTTGGTGAGCGGTTGCTTAGGCAGGGCTACACGATCCACTTCTGGCCAGTGAGACCCAAGAGCAAATGGGCTGGGGAGGGTCAATGCTTTGGTAAAGCAATGCTGGAAGATGGTGTCTGGTGGTCCTCAGGGTTTAGCTTCCTTGGGTGTGATGGCTGGAAATGCAGTTACCATTTTGCAGCCAGTGGGGAGTTCACTCAAGGACAAAGGCTTCAGGATGAAGATGAGACACAGAGAGAATCTGCTGATGTTGTTGAGTGGCTGTGGGGAGCACCTTGCTGTTTTCTGAATGTTCCTTAAGTTCAAGTGCTTTAACTCACTTGAGTCTGGTTTTCTGTTATAGTCTCTTACCGGATGCAGGAATCTGTTGGAGACACTGTGCACACAAGCAGATCAAACAACCACCAAAAATAGTGACTGGGCTGTGATTGTGGTATGGGTGTGGGAATCTGGAGTTGGGGAGAGGGTATCCCCTGATAATCTTTTTCTTGCAAACCACCGCTAATCTAAGACTATTCTAGCACCATAAAGAATTGCTAATAACTGGGGCAGGTTCTGAAACGGTGAAAGGGGCTCCATTCCTTTTGTAAAGCAAGGAACAGTAATGTGGACCAGAACCTTCTAACACTTCATCACACCAAAACTGCTGCAAAGCACCAAGTTCTGTTGTCATTAAGCAAATATTTCTCAGAGTCCACTAAACAGCCTCTAAGATGGAGTCGATTAAGAAAGTGCGCAGCCTAGTATCACAACTTCTAGAAGCTTGTTCCCCACTCCCTGAAAATGGGGAAGAATGAGATGAGAATTTCCTGATATTGAGGAGCAGATGTGCTTCATGAACCATAAAGTAGGTATGGGATTATCGATGCTATGCAACCCAGACCCACGGGGATGTGCTCTTATGATTCAAATGGTCTACATTTAGGACGAGGTGTGACCAGCATACCACTCAATGGTTTATATGAAACATTTTTAAGTTTATGCCTCTAGGGATGCTTTATCAGCTGTACATCATGGCAAGAACTTGTTCTGATTATGCTCTGAGGATAAAACCAAGACTCTTTGAATATTATTTCACCACAATTTTTTTGCCCAGGGTCAGGCAACAGCAGCGCAGAAGCCATAGTCAACATTGGTGCGTTGCTGCCCTCTGCTGGTCAGTACTGGTGCCACAGAGGGTTACGGAGAGGACAGGCTCCTTGGACAGGGAAACCCACACACAGCAAAGCAAGGGATTAGCCCCAGGGCACAGGGCTGGTCAGGGACAGATTGGAGTTTTGAAAATGGCGCTCTCCACTCTGCTTTTTCTGGAAACTCTCCATTATGGTGTCATTTTGATTGTGCTCTTGGGGGTTTTCTAAATACTGATGGTGATTTTTGTCTCCTTTGCAATGCAAACTGATTTGGCTTCTTCTCTTTTTCTTCATGCCATGGTAGCCACTTGGGATCCTGAGGTCCAAAGTCCTGTCCAATGCTGAGTGCTTTACAAAAAATGGGGGGGGTGGGGGGTTGCTCCGGAAGAATAGAGTTACTTGAGATTAGGAAGAGTGGAGTGAGGGGAGGGGAGGGGAATGGGGTAGGAAGGAGAGTAGAATAAATCAGACATTATTACCCTTTGTACATACATAACTATACGACTGGGATTCTACATCATGTTTAACCAGAAGAATGAATGAGAAATTATACTCCATTATATATGATGTATCAAAGTACATTCTACTGTCATGTATAACTAAAACAAATTTAAAAATTTAATTAAAAAAACTTAAAAAATTATCATGGATTCTTACTTTGTAAGGGAGGCCAGGAAACTAAAGCTCAGAGAGGTTAAAATACTTGCCTGAGGTCTAACAGCTAGTAAGTACTTAAGCTGGGATCTGAACGCTTGCTTGAAACCTCAGGGTCCACATTCTACCACCAAAAACCAAAAACAAAGCAAAACATCATGGCAACTTGTATTGAATATGTGATTTAGAAGAATCTGTGGTTTTTGAGTGCCCCAAATGGTATTTGCTGGGCGGACACATGATGAAAAGATAGAAGAAGGAAGACTTTTTTGAGCACCTATTATGTGCTGATGATATTCATGTATATTCTCTTCATGAATTCTCCTACTGGCTCAAATGTGATCTTGAAACCTGTCCCTAGTACAGAGACACAGATGAGAAAACTGAGTTTAAAGAGGTTAAGAAGGCTGAGGATATAGCTCAGTAGCAGAGTGATTGCCTAGTATGAATGAGGCCCTGGGTTTAATCCCCAGCCCTGCAAAATAATAAAAAGGTTAAGAAATTTGCCCAAAGTAACTCAGTGAAATAAGCTGGGATTTAGACTCTAATTCCTCTGCTTAGTGTCAGTATCTGAAAATATTACGCTCTTAAAAACATAAGTAAGGAAGCCAGACACAGTGGCACACGCCTGTAATCCCAGAGGCTTTGGAGGTTGAGACAGGATCACAAGTTCGAGGTCAGCCTCAGCAACTTAGCAAGGCCCTAAGAAACTTAAAGAGACCCTGTCTCAAAATAAAAATGGCTGGGAATGTGGCTCAGTGGTAAAGTACCCCTGGGTTCAATTCCTGGTACCAAAAAAAATGAACAAGCAAAAAAGCAACAACATAAGTAGGGGAAAGTATATGGTAGCCTGGTCAGGCTGGAGCACAGGTTTCAGGTATGGCTTGATCAGGATGTTCAAATGATGTCATCAGGAACTCTTTCTTTTTTAAAAAAAATAGTTTCAAATGGACACAATATCTTTATTTTATTTATTTATTTTTATGTCATGCTGAGGATTGAACCCATTGCCTCACACGTGCTAGGCAAGCGCTCTATCACTGAGCTACAACCCTAGCCCCAGCTCTTCCTGTTTCCTTGGTATTGGTGGCAGGAGTTCTTGGTCATCCTCATTGTGTGGATCCCTGCTTTCAGCAGAGAACATGGTCAACACAATAAGAACTGCATTTCCGGAGCTGAGGTTGTGGCTCAGTGGTAGTGCGCTTGCCTAGCAGGTGTGACACACTGGGTTCGATTCTCAGCACCACATACAAATAAATAAAATAAAGGTCCATCAAAAACTAAAAAATATTAAAAAGAAAAAAAAAAAAAAGAACTGCATTTCCCACCTTGCATTGCAGGTAGGTAGAACTGTGTGACTAGTTCTGACCAATGAGCTACAAGTGGAAGTGACAGGTCATGGCCTTGAAATAGGGAACATGCCCTTTCCTTCCCTTTTCTCCTTCCAGTCTTCTGTTTCAATCTGGTCCTGGTGGGGTGTTAGAGTCTGTAAACAAGTCTGGATGGCGCCTGGCATATTGCCAGAGGGAGTGGTTTGTGAAGTAACACCAGCGAACCAGTAAGTGTGGAGATTCCTTATTGGTTGACTGCTGTATCTAGTTTATGTTAATTAGATAAGCTGTGTGGAATGTATAAATATCGCTCTGGTCCTACAATAAATGGCTCCCACTCCTGCTGTATCAAGGTACACAAGTTGTTCGTCACCCCCTGGTTATTTTGCTGCAGCCGGACTGCGGCAGTGGGGAGCCATTTTGGACTATGCATCTGAGAGCATCACCCTAGAGATGCTAGAGCTGGGTCCTTGGATGAATTCATTGCCTACAGCTGCCATATCACCCCTGGACCATCTTTATGGAGACTCTACGTGAGAAAGAAAGCCACCTCTACCTTACTTAGGCCACCGTTACTTGTGGTCTGTAGTGCGTGTGGTTGAGCTCACAGCCTAACTGATGGAGTGCCTGAGTCCAAACACTCCCACTGTCCGTAGGGAAGAGAAAGGAAAGACATAAAGATGCCACCCCTTGATAAAAGCTGGTTATGAGGCTGCGCTACCTCATTTCATCATTGAGACACACCATAAGGTCAGCATTACTGTCCCCTTTTACAGATGAGGAAAGTGAGGTTGAGGGAAGTTAAATAACTTTCTCTGTCACACAGAAGTGGCTGGGTTGAGATGTGAGCTCAGAACCACTTATTCAAATTAGCTCCAGCAAACAATGTTCATAATAAGGACACAGCACTCATGGAATCTTCCAGAAAGACTGTAGCACTGGGTAGGGCAAGAATCAGAGCAGTTCCAGGGACGACAACAATCAGTTAAAGGCCCTTCACTCTTGTGCTCCCCTTTTATGTGAACCCTTTGCAGTCTTGTCCTTAACCTGCATTCTCCATAGTGAAGTCCCAACTGGCCACCAGTGGCCAACAGTCTGGCTCTGTGGGTGGATGTCCACTCTGGTCCAATGAACCAGGACTAAGGATGTGGACGGAGGTTGTTTCAGACTGAGC